GTCGAATAACCCCCCATGGCCAACACACTTTGGGGGACCCTTACCTCCAGCAATGAATTGACAAAGCTGCCGAAATTGTTTGTATTTTTGATGATTTTTTTGGAGTGGTATTGGTTCCTGAGCGATGACAGAAAGAAGAACAGACGGATTAGAGAACATACGCAAAGTTAGGAATAGGGTAAAAGTAAGCGGGCTTGAGAGCAGGATACGCCACTAGCAGTACAGTATACATGTTCGGTATGCTGAACTTCTTCTGCACCGTCCGTAGCCAACCGTGCTAACCGCAAGTGCGGAAAGCGGCAGCGGTTCGAGACCAGTCGCGGAGTGGCAGCCAGAGGGAAGCGCATCGTGGGGATGTACACGTACACTTCGCAGGACCTTGAGAGATGGCGATGGCTTGGCGAGACTTTCACGCAGAGGTGGATAGATCTTGGCACATTGTGATGCTTTTGGACGCTGAATAGGACTCGGCTGCCTCTCCGCAAAACACAATTTTTTTTTACGACGTAAACAAACACGCACGCACGCAACGGTAACCATCGGCCACTGCTTCGTATAAACACAATGCCGATATTGTCTGCGCGCTTGCATGATCTTGGCAACGCTGTTGGAAGCGGGACTCGTTGCCATGCCTTCAAGGCACTCCACAGCCCGATGTTCAAGACCGCAACGCGACAGCGGGGAGCATTAGCGCGTGACGGAGGTTAATGGGATGCACCACCTGCAGGATGGTTCACTCCGGAGATAGCCACGTTTGTAAAATATTAATGTCGTGCGTGGGCGGCGTTGAAGAGGCCTCTGCTTTGCATCTTGGGTGGCAAACAGCTTCAGAACAAATGCTAATTAAGCCAAATATCCCATTGAGCGTGTGTGGTTAATCTTGCGGGGAGGGGGGGGATAAAATAAAAATTATTACCTTTTTTGACATCAAGAGCAACCGATACGGTGCGGGTTTGGGAAATAACGAAAGACCGAGCAATTTTCACCAAAGACTATTGGAGTACGAATAAAAGATACTCGATGCAGTTATATATTGCAGTTGTATGGGAGTTGGCGCAGCGTGGTTGGTATGGGCCCTGGTGCGAGGAATTAAATGGGACCCTCCTCCCCACCATGTCCACCGTCCTCTTAAGAGTGGCACCTGGAGCCCTCGTCACACGTGGGTCACGATACAATCGCATAGCCTGCGCACTCGACAGCAATGACAATGGTGGGGGGGGGGGCAGAGCTCTGGGGCTTATTGGTTTTGGTGATCTCATAACCAAACTTAGGCACGTAATTCAGCGTTAAAAAAAATATTATTATTATTACAAGATACAACGTAACAAAATACACGGTGGCGGCACGAATAGCAAAACTGAAGGGCGGACAAAAAATGAAAATGGGACCGGTGAAGTTGGCAGAGGTTCATTTAAGGGAAGAGTTACGGTCAACAGGCAGGATGGCACAAGTGGTGGTTTTGTTCGTGGAGGGATAATGCTAGCGGCTGGTTGGCCAGTTGTTTAGTCAGTGATGACTAGTAATAGTGGTTAATTGGTTATGGTCAGATGTTTGGCTAGTATTAAGTGGCTGGTTGTCTAGTTTGTGTGGATTACACTTTTTTTTCTGGGGCAACATTCTGATGCTTAAGAAATGGTCGAATCGCATCGCCTTGGGAATCTGTTCCAATTGTTTATGGAGACGGCGTGAATGACATTCTGATGAAGATGATGTGTCAAGTTGCTAATCTGGTCGCTTGTGTTGATTGCGCATTGGATTAGGGTGGAATACGTTCCCTTTATTGGCGGTTTCATCCTTTTTTTGCTGCTTGATTTATGTAAAAACAAAAAATTATCGGCGAAAACAGCAAGCCTCTGCATGGATATTTATTCAATACTTTTTTGGATTTAAATACAAATCTATCTCATTAGTAACACAAACACATGACAGACACGTTCTCGGCATCTGGCACTTGAAAAATTACACGTCCGTTTTCCGTCTCTCCATTCCATTGCCTTGTCCTATCCTCCTGGTATACAAATCTGCAGCTTTTCATCGAGAAATGCAGCTCGCATAGAAATGTATCCCGCTCTTACTTCCCCTGCAAACCATAAGTGTTTTACAGTGATTTAGCTGAGCATAAATTTACACAATACACAGTGGATGACTCAGAATGTCGTCCATAGCTGTGCCCGCGCACATGGCTTGTGAGGGTTTCCAAACGCTGCATCGGCAAGCAAGGGTGAATGCCTCCTTTGTGCACACGGCCACCCTGACGACAGATGTGTGGACGCAGCATTTTACATCACCCGGCATATAAAAATACAGTGTACGCACATAGTTACATGCATTTGACCAGTACTGTGAGTGAGCATGAACGGAATAAGCAGTGCCCTAAGACAACGTTTAACAGGCCCGATGCAACCTTCTCCAGGGATTTTACGATTCTCCTATGAATCCAAATAAAATCCACACAGACACACGAGAAACGCACAGCCCCCCCCCCCACCCGAAGAAGCGTTGCAGCTCGTGGCAAAACGTGTTCGGCAAATCCCCCTGTAGTGTCCGAGGCTCGTGCCTCCGCCTGTTGCCACTCGGCAGCAGTTCTGATCATACGTATGAAATCACATCTGAAATTATTTCAGATTTACAGATACAGTTCACCCCAGGGGGTTCAGGTCACCTAAGGGCAACACGAATGTGGCCCATTCAGATGTAAACGTACTGGGGTCACGCGGTGGTTTGTGTACGAGCAAATGCCCAGATCCGCCAGATTGTCCAGCGTGCGTGTGTGTACAGGCCACTCGGTGTACAGCTCTGCTGGCATCTTCAGGAGTTTTTGGAACTTCACAGACAGGCAGACCTCAAGGAGAATGCGTCATAAATGTATACTCCATTATCGGCAAGCACTGATCGCTGCAACCGGAGGCCGCAAGCAGTGCCGTTGAACATCAAGATGTCATAGGCACAAAGATAATAATAATACACGAATTGGGTAAACACGCTTTAGGTAAGGGGTTTGCGAGCAATCGGCACACCTCAAAGTGTCACAAAAGACTACCTAATAATGTCCAAAGAGGGTTGCGTGAAGGGCTCATACCTCAGCAACAATGGATTTTTTTTCTGGAAAAAACTACGAATAATTATACAGATTCATAAGGCATGTAACAATTCATTTGCTCCCAGATTCTATGAATTGTCACAAATCAAGGTCATGATTCAGTCCAGCAGTCAGTTCTGTTTGCAATTGCAGTGCATGTATACCCTATGAGGTTTATGCAATCCATAGTTATATTAACATATGTAAGGAGAAAGAATAAGTGATGACTTTTTACAGCTAACGGTGAATGCAGAACACGCACACAGCACACACGTCTATAGGCGTTCTGCGTGACTGTCCACAAACTTCATTGTGCCCTCAGCTGTACAAGGCATATACTCTGGTCCAAACAAGTGTGGCACAGTGAGACAAGCTAGCAACATCGGTGCGAGCTTCTGCTCGTTCGAGCTCATCAGCAAATCATAGCCAGCTGCTTGCCACTGCATTGTGGAAAATGTGAGGTGCAGGGGACAAACACGGCCTGAAGGCCATTCGGAAAAACATGCTATCCCAGGCAATAATGAACCCAAAAGAAATAAAAACAAACTTGACATTTCCTGCAAAGTCATTGAACTCAATGGACAAATTCCCGAGGACAATTAAAACCAAACAGAGAAGAGAGAGCCACACACTGCTTATGGAGCTGCTCCAGAAATGCAATGTTGATTGCCATTGCTTACAGTGCCTGCTTAAGAGACAAATGTGACCACAAACAGGCAGAGAAAGGATCTCAAGTGAACGCATCCTTAGGGCACGGATTATTAAAAGGAGGAAAAGCCTAAGCTAAACAAGGGCCTCAAAAGCATTTAGAGTCTCGGGGCAACGTGCGAGGTTAGGACACCTGGCGACTAGAACCGTGGTCTATCTCCACACGATCAACTTTGCGGAAACTTAGCGTGGCCACCAGCAATGCTAACCAAAGCTGCAGTTTACAATTCCTACCCACGCGTTGAACTCGGCAATACAAAAATATTTCTATAAACTAATGAGCCCAAATGCATGCAGAGAAAGGCCCCCCCCCCTTCTGGTAAACTATAAGCAAAGTCAGCTGCATTAGAGAGATGAACAAGCGAGTTATGTACAGACAGGCCACATTCTAACATGTGCCACTAGGTGCTTAATCTTATATTTTAGATATCACACTATCCATTGTTTGTTTTACACAGCAAAATTAACGAGACAATGTAATTTACAATTTAAAAATGCTCAGTAATTATATTAATGGTTACAGGTCTGGTTTTAAAAAAGTGTAGAAAATGTCCAGTTAATTTATTAGTACCATTTCAATGTCAGATTATTTCCTGGAGACAGGCAGGTAGAATGAGTGCTTTAATCCAAAATAAGCGATACAAATCTAATCGTTTCACTCGCTGCGGTGTGTAACAATCTGACCGTACAGTACTTTACTATCTGTAGTGGTTTTAAGTATGGCTTCCCATTACCGATATCACGTACGTACACTCAACGTCACACACGCTGGAGCTTTATACAATGCGCTTCGACGCTCACTCGGCATCCGGAGAGTTTCACACAAACACCCAGCGTGTCTTGCTCAGTGAGGACAGCTGCTATACGTTAAGGTGTTCCCCCGTCTCCTTGTAAACTGGCAGCAGAATAACTCTGTTTGGTAAACGACCGTCCACTGCTAAAGCTTCTCGCCAACTGACATGGTAACGGTTAAAACGAATGACGCGCACGCCCTGCTCTGCTGCTCAGCGCGCGACCTTCACACGCATTAGCGGATGGATGCTTTTATGGACACTCGTCGCGATGCGCGCAGCTCGAGTTTTTATACAGGACCGGCCACACACACACACACAGCCATCTGCTGGCAACACTTCACTTCAACGATCAACACTGAGGAAAAACAAAAGACGGCGAACGCGCGCGGGACGGCGTGACCTCGTGGCCCAACCCCCCCCCCCCCCCCCCCCCCCCCCCGCCTGGAGCGTGTCAGGGGCGTGCGGTCACACGGTGGTCTCCTTTTTAAGTTCGCACAGGGACGAGTCGCCGCACGGCGCCACGCCCGCGGCGAGACTGTCCGTCGCCGCCTCGCGTTCTGCCGCTTCGAGGAGTTGGTCCAGCCGAGAGCCGTGGCTCACGTCCATCATGGCCGGCGTGCCGCACGAGTTCGTGTCCGAATCGGAGTCGTCCATCTCCTTGGGGATGGGAGAGCGGTCGCTGCTGTCGCGCTCGCCCGACGCTGAGAACACGGCGCAGTCGCTCCCCGTGCTACCGCCGTTGCCGCCGTCGCCGCCGTCGCTGTCCGACGGTGGGAAGGGGTGGTTGGGAGCGCCGTCCTCCTCAACCTCGTCGTCCTCCTCCTCCGCCATCGACACGGGGCGGCTGCCACTGCTGCACGGCGACAGCTCGTCCTCCGTGCCGGTGCCGGACAGGGATGGCGGCGTGTCGCTTACCGACATCGGCGAGGGCGGCACGGGGCCCAGGCCCTCCGGGTCGTCCGTCCCCGAGGGCGGCTGTTCGGGCTGCGCCAACGTCTCGTCGTCCGGCTCGGCCACCCCCAGGGCAGTGATGGCTGAGCGGATGCTGTTGAGCCACTGCTGTTTGCTGTAAGAGTCGTGTGCCTGCAAGGTGTGCGACTGGCCCTGCAGTGAGTCCTTGAAGCCCACGCGGAAGATGTTCTTTGCTGCTTGAAAGGGCACAACGGCGGGCGTTAACATCTTTGTGTCGCAGTAACAAGTGGCACCTAAGCTACTGTTAAGAAATATTGCCTCACAATGGTCTTCACAGTCAAGGTGGAAACACTCAATGATACAGTGAGGGAAAAAAGTATTTGATCCCCTGCTGATTTTGTACGTTTGCTCACTGACAAAGAAATGATCAGTCTATAATTTTAATGGTAGGTTTATTTGAACAGTGAGAGACATATACATACTTATTTCCCTCATTAAAATGCAAATAAATTTATAACATTTTTGACATGCGTTTTTCTAGATTTTCTTGTTGTTATTCTGTCTCTCACTGTTCAAATAAACCTACCATTAAAATTATAGACTGATCATTTCTTTGTCAGTGGGCAAACGTACAAAATCAGCAGGGGATCAAATACTTTTTTCCCTCACTGTATGTGAAATGTTATCCGTGCAAGGTGATAATTATGACATGTAATTATGTAATTATACATCACAGATCCAACCATAATATTTATAAACGTAGCCGAAATAAGGGGCTCCAACACCTCATCAGATGACAACTTAATCCGAAGGGCTAATGTACGAACAGCTGCCAAAATGTTATGCAAGTCTAACAATCAGCATAAGCAGCACAGTGTAGTGCCAATGCTCCTAAAAAAACATTCTCATTGCATACTCAAATGCACTCTTGTGCACAGCCTTGGTCTTGAAACCACGAAATAACAAGCCAGGTTAGAAGTGGTTACAGTGTCGACCAGTGCATCCGAATCTCAGGAGTTACCCTCAGCCCACTGTGCATGTGATCTATGCGGAAAAGTGTGTCGTTCAAACGCCGGTCTTGCTAGTCACAAGCGAACTCGTAGCAATCAAACAGAACAACCACGTAAGATGACGAAGGATTACTGACTCCCGATGAAAGAGAGGTCATCGTCATTGGCGAGGGACCGCATGATGTGTACCTTGCAAATGTTGCATTGCTGATATGTGCATGCTAGAGTGTCCTCACACTTGGAATTACTCTGCTTCACAGCTGAGCAGGAATCCCTTCCCACCTAAAACTGAAGTACCACACCAATGTGTAGACTACAGAGACATGAGGCCTGTGCTATAACACCAACATGAAGACTACTTAGGTGTGCGATCTACAGGCTCCACAGTGGCGAGATGTTAACTACCTCGCCTGGCATGGAGGAGGTAGTGGGTTAGATCCCGACCCTGATGCCTGGATATTTGCAGTTTGCATGTTCACTCTCCCAGTGGTCACTTGGATTTATCTCCAGGTCCTCCGGTTTTTCCTTTCACATTTAGAATAAACATGCGTTTAAGAGTATTTGGCTGCTATACATTAGCACGTGACAAGCCACTTCGTTGAGCTATCGTTTATGGCCAGGTCGCTTCAGAAAAAAGCGCTACATAGCTCAGTGTGCATAACCTGGTAAAATAAAAACAGCTTAGTTTTACAGCACAAACACGGGCGGCCTGCAGCGCGGCCACGACGCCAGTTCCGCCTCTCCCTCCTGCGTTCACGATGTATTTATCTCCGCCACTCTCCTGTACATCTACAAAGAGCTGGTCCCTTCTCCGCCCCCACCCCCCCCCCAAGAAGCAGGCTCACCTTTGTCATTGTTGCCGAAGGCGCCGCGGAAGGAGCCGCCCATCTTGACCTCGCCGTCCTGCAGGTCCTCGAGGCGGAGATCTCGCAGGGGGATCGGCTGGCGGTACACCTGGTAGCAGCAGCCGTCGTTGCCTCGCGACGCTGGGCGGGACAGCACCAGCACGTCCCCGAAGAGCAGCACAAACAGCTTCTGCAGATGGAGGGACGGTGGGGGGAGAGCTTGTTGAGAAGGGTCACAGCGCGGGCGAGCGGGCTCCCTGACACTCGGCCACGTGAGCGCGACGAACCGCATTGGGGCTGCATCATCGACGGCAATAGACGGAGTCTTAAATTACCAAACAGCCAGCAACCTGAACCAGGTGTCCAAAGAGGGCTTTGCCCTGCCCTTCCTCTGTACCTACCGATTACTATGGTTGGCTATGTACGGTGCGAAAGAAGTTAAACAAAAACAAAGATCCCCCGTATAGCCTGTAAGAGATTGTTGGGGCAAGTGCTGTTCGAGAGAACCTTTGAAGGCTGGAACGGCACCCGAGGGGGTGGGTGGCCAGCACCACGCCCAGCCACCTTTGTCTCCCCAGTCGCGATGATTTTACACACCGTACAAGGTACTGATTTGAGGCCGAGGCGACCTAGGGGAGGCACAGGACTGGTTGAGATAATCGTCACTGGTGTTGGCTGTGAGCGGGAATCAAACTGGAGTCACCGGGTTTGTCGTGCAGCACGCTAACCGCTACACTACCGCTCCCCACATACCAACACATACATACAGAATACCTACAGTATCATATAGCGGTACTTCCCCATGTGGTATTTCAACACACCTACCACTTCAATGCAACATGTTAGATTGTACCATTCCAAATATTTTGGTAGTCACATGATTGAATCACAGATAAAGGAAGACAACTGAAAAAGGTATTTGTTCGTACATTGTAAATGTGTACCAATGTTGTGTGTACACTTATCTGACGTGAATTTAATCCTTCATCAATGAAAAAAAACTTCTTTAACATTACCATCAGACACACGATAGCACATTACATCTATAGATTTTAACACATCATAGAAGTGATGTTACTAGAGCCCTACGACTTACCATAGAGCCCAGGACACAGTCGAAATATGCATCCACAAGGGTTATTTGAGTATTCCTGAAGAAAAGTAAATATGTAAATTGAGAAAGATGCAATATATATGAACATACAGTAAAACCTTGGATTGTGAGCATAATTCGTTCCAGAAACGTGTTTTTAATCCAAAGCACTCGTATATCAAAGCACTCGTATATCAGTTGTGATCACGTGACGCTCGGCAGACAAAGCGTATACGTACTACTTGTATTGCTAAGACCCTCGCTCGTTTATCAAATGTATATTTATTTAAAAAATTGCTCGTCTTGCAAAACACTCGCAGACCAAGTTACTCGCAATCCAAGTTTTTACTGTACTTGAAATGAACAAATGTTTCCTACTCTTTTCAGGCTCTGAAATTGTTAACAATAATGAGTGCCAGGGATTTGCTCAACGTCGAAACTGACTTCATTTCAAGCATTTAACAAGAGCACAGAATGCCCTTGTGTTCCTTGGACATGAAATACACAAATGCCTGATTTAGATGTGCTGTGTATCATCACAGTGATCTGGGAATAAAAATCTTTAACTCGGAGCCAAGCCTTAATCACTCCACGTCAACGAGCCATCGGTGATAAACCATTAATTTATCATTAGTGCTGCAATGATTGCAATTAATGCATACTCCCGTGCATTTTCAGTGCATACTCGATATGCTGGCTGCTGGAAACGGGCAGAAGCATAAGCGTTCTCAGGACAAGTGGAATATCCTAGCATGGGAATGGTGGTTGCTCTGGGGGACATTGAAGGGGCCGGAGGCATGTAATAAAAGCACAAACGACTGAGCCCCTATAATTTGTGGCCAGGTCGCTTCTGAAAAATAAGTTAACACCCTCACAGTGGGCTTTGTCTGGTAGGATAGGGATGGTTTAGTGTTGTATTTGCATGCGTTTTGGCGATTTATTTACCTTTCTTGTACATTGCACTCCTATTGTATTTTAATAAAATAAAAAAATACCATATTATCGTATTTTTGTATCGTTTATTCTTGTGACGTTCTTACACGGCCCACTACTGGACAAAATAGCTTTATAGCTCATTGGATTCCTCCAGTAGAAATTATTATTCTGATTCTAATGTCTGCATTTGACAGCTTTGACGACTGCCCCACCTCTTTCACCAACCCGGCAATGCCCAGCATGGTGAAGTATGGTAAAAAAAAACATCCGTCACTAACGCAGCTTGGGAGAAGGCCGTCATCTAGCAGTGGATTGACAAATGGATATAGTCCATAAGTGTTTTTTTGGGTTAGATCGCGTAAATATATAAATGTGTCGTGAAATCCACCACCACCTGACACAGCCAACTAGTAAGGGTTTTCACGTAAACTGAACGTGGCCAATTCGTTACTAGTACAGCGCACCGGTGTGTTGGAGAGCCAAGCCACAACATTCACAATCTGAGTACGACGTTTCGCCAGTAATTACAACTAGCTTCATCAGGCGACAGCCAGATTTGTTTAAAACTGTCTGTCAGGCGGGTTTAACGACGCATTTATATATTTACGCGATCTAACCCAAAAAGAAACCTGCATTATGGACGATATTGATCGCGAAAGCCTACGTGTTAAATGGATATCGGTTCACATTTTTATATTGAAAAAAATGTATTCGGTAAAAAAATAAACACCCATCTCTGAATCCGCACACCTCCCTGTTACTATTCCTCGAGAAGCACCACCTGCAGTAATGTGACCATCGGGAGTGTCATTACGATCCGACCTCTCGCACCCCATACGTCTTGCTCCCCCGTGCTGCAGCTGTACTCTCCTTTTGAACCACCTCATCCGACATCCCTTTTTCCCCTCTGTAAGGTTCAGAACAGCCTCCGCGGAATGAGCAGTGAGAGAGTCGGAGTGGATGGTCACGTCGATCCGCCACCGTAATGAGAGTAAACGCCTGCTGATTCCACAAAGCTAAGGCTGGTTATTTTTTCTTGATCGTTCTCTAATGGAGATTGCTGGAATTTGCCACTTTAAATTGTCGCAATCGGCTCATTACAACGCAGAATCATTTCCCTCTTTTTAGTGAAACGTTAATCCAAAGTACTGTAAACTCTGCATGTTTAACATACCAAACAGGCTACCAAATGTGACATTACAGTTCCATCAAATGCCCACAATTTCTCTGGCACTTTCAAAGCTGTGTACTACTTTGGTACGTTTGATATATAAAAACAAGGCTATCTCTGTTGTTATCAAGCCTTATGTTCATATATTGATCAAATGTGTCAAACAAGGATATCCAGTGTGTTCTATTCACTGAAGTGTAGAATGGTTGAAAACCCATCTATAAATAACACAATTCAATACCAAGAAACAGCTGTTAGAGATCCATGGCTAATATACAGGCACGTATACTGTGTACATTCACATGCAAATGTTACGTCAAGCTTATAACTATGCTGCACTGGAACTGAACATGTCATGTTCCCACACCAGTAATAGACCGTAACTTTTATCCATATATATAAAAGGGAAATTTGTGAATGTGTGTCTGTTCGAAATGTTTAGCATACTTCCCAACAATAATGGATATATTTTGCACGGCAAGTGAGCAGTGACGTCACATCTGTGTGTCACCCGCATACGGCAGCGTCACGCAGTGTGCCTGCTGACGTCACGCACCCCCCCCACCCTCCGCGTAGGCAGTGGATTAATCCAAGACAAGAATCCAAGTCCCGGGCGAAGCCGGGTAGTAAAGCTAGTGCAGTAAAATATTTATATTGATAAATGAATCGCAATGAGTAAGAATGACTCGTGGAAAGTGGCTCTTTGCCCACTTGGATCTCACAGTTCAAACAACTGTCCACGGGGCACAGGATTATTACATGTGCTAACAAAAACACTGCGTGACTCATGGATCTCATCACCAGGGTGCTGTGCACTTTTGTCGAATAAGAAAACAACAAAACATTGGTGACACAGCCAACAGCCTGGTTTCTTTGGCTCAGAGTGCCTCGTGGTGACTAAGAGGGCCACAGTTTTTTTGCTTCGTCGTTTCAAGAGGATCAGGACCTGATGCTATCAACTGCTGCTCCGCCGGCCGCCATGTGAACACACGGGAGGCAGAGCACCGCTGTCAGCCACTCCCACCTCCCACGGTGCCCATCATGCTGACCTGCCTTTTTTCTAGACATGTCTGTGGAAAGAAGCACTGCCATCATTGGCTCTTGTTTTTTTCCAGTGGTTTAACCATTCCATCTCACGATAAGGATGTTATCAGAGTGAGAGCTTGGGGCTCAGTAAAGCTGCCTTGATAACTTATCGCTTATAAAAGCAGCTCACATTTGTGGGTTCGTGGATATGTACTGCGGCGTTGGCACGACGAGCTGCTGTTGATATCTAACGTAAGCAGTGCCGAATCCTGATCGTCACGCATCGTGTAAGGAGATGAGCAATAGAGAAGAAGATGACCGTGCACGTATTTGCTTCTCTGCATCCTCCTTTCCCAAGGCTTTGTAGCCTGGAAACTCTAAGGACAACGGCTCGTCAATACGTGACACAATTCCACCCCGTCTCATCCATCCCCTATACCATAGTGATCTGTGAAACATTTATAAATAAACTCAGGGACCTTCACTGCAAATAGCATTCCAGCAACAACAGAGGAATCCTCCACCCTCGGAATGAGAAAGCTCCCGTGTCAATGATTTGAGGAAGAAGTTACGTGGAAATCAACTCGCAATTATTACAGCTGTTTAGCATTGATGGCAACATTCCTACTTTGTAAATGAGCTTCATGCAACTCGGCGCAGCCACTCGGCATAAATAACCGAACAATGGAGATGAACCAATCGCTGCCAAGCAGAGAAACTTAGCGAGGGCGACGCTGCTCATTGCAGGCACTTGCGGCGAGACACCCCATTACATTGTGCATTCATTCGTTGAAAATTACTCCTGAGATAGAGCCCACTTGCGTTACACCCCGATTAACGAAGGGCTGGTCTGGGTGGGATGTGGAACGTGCAGCCGCGGGTAGCTGGATAGCGCAGGGGGATAATATTGCGTAAAAGCATTGAGCCAGGACCGCTTGAGTAAACGGGTTTGCTTCTAAAGACAACTGTAGAGGGAGGTAACGCTGGTCTTAGCACTCTCCAAGTACGGTTTTTTTTTCTTCCAATTCATTGGGTATATTCCACCTCTTAAGATTAAGACTAATAATCGAAGCGGAATGAAAACCTTTTGGCAGCATGTACAAAGTTGTGCTTCCAGAAGGCCAAGAAGCCAAGTGAAATGACTTCGCGGGCAGTTCTGCGATGCCATATTTGGGAGCCATTCTCCGGCACAAAACAGACACACTAATTGGGGGGAGGGGGCTGAAGACAAATAAAAAAAACATCGCGTAGAACGGGGTGGGGAATCTATTGTACAGGGGCCGTATCTGGCCAGCAGCCACAATATTTTTGGCTCTGCAACCCTGTTTCTAAATTTAGGACGCGTCACTTCTGTCACTGCAAGGGCCTCTTTACAATGGGTTGACACGCACACGTTGTTTGGCATAATTATTGGATAACGCCGAACCGTGTGTTAGTACACGGCTCGCCAAAGGTACAGCAACATTTGTAGCTCGGAATATGAAGAAGAAACAAATTCAAAAATAATGAAACCGTGTACAGATGTGGATGTCAGAAGAATACATTTTCAAATATTTCCAACATTTGGGCATGGCACAAGGTTTGAGGGACGGGGGGGTGGGTACACACAGTATTCCGCTTCTGCAAATGTACACCTCTGCAACGTCATCATGGCCTTATGGGAGCCTCGGTACGGAAGACGTACCGAGGCTCCCATAAGGCCATGCAGGAAGGCGTGTGACACAGTTTGGCGCCAGTTGTCGGAGAGTGCGGTCGTGTCGCTTCGGTTCTCTGCGGTCAGTAGGGCCTTTAAAAAACGGCGCTAAGCCTCTCTGAAAAAAATAACGCTCAACCGTTTGCACGTTCCCGAGATTCAGCGGTGAACGGAACCCACCCTGCAACTTGCAGACGTCATTGGAACGGGTAGGAGATAAGAGTTTCGCCCGTCTGGGGCAGCGGAGGGCCATCCTCCCCTTTGTTTTGCCCCTTTAATGTGGTCCCGCCACGCCGGAATGGATGTTCGTGGATTTTTTGTTGTTGTATACCGTTTTTGGAATCATCCGGTGTGGTTTGCAGGACCCGCATGTTGTTGTGATAAAAATATAATACTAATTAAAAAAAAAAAGCTTTGACCAGATTTGAAAATGCTATTCGGCCCTCCTCGGTGTGGAGAAGGTTCTGCTCCCCTGTCGTAGAAACCGGGGAGTCCCTCCACCCTGCCCCTGCACGCTCATGGGCGACGAGGAGAGAAGGGTGAACTCACGGTGCCACGGTTGTTGCGCAGCTCGCCGTGGAGGTGCAGCGTGCGCGACGTGGCGATGAGGGGGTCGCGCTGACGCTCGTCCAGGTAGTCAAGCTTGTCGCGGAAGTAGCAGCACTCCGACTCGCCCGTGCGCGTGTTCACGTCGGCGACCACGCCCTGGATGATGGAGATCTGCAACACGGGCAATGGGCGTCTCTCGCTTTAGGAAAAACACTCAAGATCTGGGCCGATGATCATTATAATCATTACAGAAATGCAATGGCTCACAAACGAAACAGAATGCATACGCTCACGGGACGTGAACACGAATCGTGCGCGTGAGTCGTTATTAAATATTAATGCAAATTATATGCAGATGGTGCCTTTAAGCTAATTAAACAATAACACTGTACACACAAGACAAAACAAATAAGGTATTGCAAATGAAAAAGTAAAAACCAAAAGACAAAGACTGGATTCGAAATCCGTTCCACGATCTCAAAGAATGACAATTCCTCAAATTGCGGGGGTGAAGGGATGCATTGTCACATGTCCATCAGAAAGATCAAGAGGCCAAAGCCAAACCATCTCGTTATATGTATGTCTAAATATGCTTCAAATAACCACATTAGCTAATGTGACAATGCAAACCATTGTAAAGAAAACGGACGTTGCAGGAGCACTCAAGGCGATATCCTGAATCAAAATGCTGATGTAAAAAAAAACTATTTTTTATTTTACAAGGTAAGGACCCACTCTGAGCTACGTAGCTCTTTTTCAGAAGCTACCTGGCTACAAATGAAAGCTCAACGAAGCGGCTCATCACGTGGAAATGTATAGCAACCAAATACTCTAAATGCATGTTTATAAATGTGGAGGGAAAACACGGAGAAAAAGCCACTTGACCAGAGGGAGAAAATGCAAACTCCAAATATACATAACAATAGGTTTTACCCGATCTGGCAATAGAACAGGTGTTAAGATGTTAAAACACCAAACCGAATCCTTATTGCCATAAAGTGTAAAACATATTGTTACATCTTGATAATGGCAAGAAAGGCCCCATATTCTAGCTGCTCACCCCAAACTATAAATGCCCTAATAGTGCATTGTCTTTGTGCTTTGAGACTAGGCTCTCAAGAAAGACGATGTCTCTTGTGTGGACCAATCAGATTCAAAGATAATGCCATATATATTATCAGAGTATGTTTTATTGTTTGCATGTTCACCGTAAGTTCGTGTGGTTAATGCAGACAAGATTTCTTGAAAAAGGATTGTTTGGTGTTTTAAACATCTTAACACCTGTTTTATTGCCAGAAAGGTTAAAACCTATTGTTATATTTGATACTGACAAGAAAGGTCCAAATATACAGCAGGCGTCAGGGTCGGGATCGAACCCACCGACCTCCTATAGTTCACATCTTGCCACTATGACACCCACATAATGTATATGCATATGTATTAATATTCACACAAAAGAATAGAGTTTGAAAGCACAACACATATTCCCACAAAGAGGTGGTGGCACACATTAATCACCGCCACAGCACAGGTAATCCAGCTGTGACAGCTGTGGTTTCACTGGCAGGGGGCCCCCAGGCCAACTCTAATCCTCCAGCCAAGAAACTCCCTTCGTGGGAAACCTGATCTTTATTATTTTTCCACGAGCACATGTGGATGTTTTGGTTGACTGCAGATGCCTTGTCTTTGCACTGCAACCATGAAGGTTCGTTGAGTTGTCAGTGTTCATGCATTTGCAGGTGCGTTTATATAAGCACCAACAGTAAAATGCTTTCATGATTTCAAAATTAAGAGACATGTCATGGGTTCTCATCCCACTGTAATACAGGGAAAACATTGTTTATTAGACGTATAATGATTCACCCCCTTCATGATTCAATGTTATGAATGGGACCACAATTTTATTGGAATCGTTTATTTCATTGCCCATGTGGCGCATGTAATATATATTTGTTTGTTTCTCAGTCCGCTTGCCCTGGTGAGGGTCGTGGTGGCAGCATGTTGAGTAGTGGCGGTCCAGACCTCCCTTTCCCTGGCGACAGATTCCAGCACTACACTACGATACACTACACTATACACGACTATACACTCCTACACTACACTATACACTACTATACACAGACTCTAGCTCTTCCTGGGGAATTCCGATGCGTTCAAAGGCCAACCGAGCGACAGTCCCCCTACCGTGTCCTGGGCCCGTAATATATATACAGTGAAACCTTGGATTGCGAGTCACTTGGTCTGCGAGTGTTTTGCAAGACGAGCAATTTTTTTAAATAAATAATAATTTGATAAACGAGCGATGTCTTGCAATACGAGCAGTACGTACAGTATATGCTTTGTCTGCCGAGTGTCACGTGATCACAACTGAGCCAATGGTTGTTTCCTCTCTCTCGCTGAGGGATTGTGGGTAATCATCTCCCATGCTCGGTCTCAGTCGGCGTGCCTCACTCGTATAGTTAACATCCGTGCGAGCGTATACTGTTTAATACAGTATAGTGTTGTGACCACGTGTGTGTGCATAAAGCATTTTTTTTTATTTTGTGTCCAAGTGTAGTGACTGTTCTTTAGTAACTGTACTGCAAGTGAAAGTCGTCCTACACAATAACCCTCTTCCTCCTCTCTCTCGTCTCCCTCACACCAGCCACGATTAAATGTAATTAATAAATTTGATAACTTTATATTAAATTTAAATAATAAAAATATAAAAAGGTATTTTGTATTGATCATTTTTATATGAATACAGTATTTTGGGTTGTGGAACGAATCATCTTGAGTTTCCATTATTTCTTATGCAGAAATTCGCTTTGATATAAGAGTGCTTTGGATTATGAGCACGTTTCCGGAACGAATTATGCTCGCAATCCAAGGTTTCACTGTACTGATATAAATGTATATATAATCTTCAGTGGAACAACCCATATGACAAAAATACAATTATAAATAATTGATTCTCATACACAATAGACTCGTGTATTTTGCCAGTAAGAATTCATATTAAACGGATGATGCACTCACTCCTTTGTTTATTATACCCATGTTTAATGGAAATCATTCTGTATCTCAGTGCAATCTTAACTAGTTCTACCTAGGTGATCAAGGTTGAATTTGATCATTCTCACAAATATAGTAGGCAAATTACAACTGTTTTCAACTGTTTTCAACTGGTTTTGAAAGAAAAAATAATCTTATCGATCAATTGTGAAATTTATTCGTAACTTTAAGGACCTTTACATCAGGGCCAAAGGTTTTTCGATGTCTAGGGAATAATTATAGATGAGGCACCATTGGCCTTGTGTGGAGGACCTCTGCTCAGATCTGAGGCCCAGGGCAAACTTACCCTACCTGCCCACCATGCCACTGCCCCCTCATCTCGAGAGCCCTATTTTCCCTTGAGGGCCCTGTGGATCTGTGCATGACTCACAAGCAGGTTAGCAACCCGGCGCTCACTTGACTCCACCTTCCCCATGGCGCAACAAACAGTGGTGTAGCCGGATTGCCATGGGCCCTGGTGAAAGAAGCAAATGGAGCCACCTGTCCAATTTCCCCACCCCACCCACCCTCTCCAAGTCTGGAACCTGGGTCCCTCCGACATGTGGGTCTAGGTGCTATTACACCACCAACACAATGCATAGCTACCCCCCACAGCACAAGTGAAGAGACATTTAGGAGCAAAACCCAGCCCCCCTGCTGTGTATATCTTTGGAGTTTGCATGTTGTCCCTGGTGTTTCCCTCCACATCCAGAAATATGCCTTTAAGAGATATACATTTCCACGTGATGATAAGCCACTTCGTTGTTGAGCTTTCATTTGTGGCCAGGTCGCTTCTGAAAAAAAGAGCTATATAGTTCAGCGGCGACTGCCGGTCGCTCACCGCTTCCTCCAGGCACTGCTGGTCCGGGTGCTCGTTGGGCGTGTGGCGCAGGATCTCGCGCAGCAGCAGCGGGTACTTGACGAGCCGCGAGCGCGGCACGTCCAGGAAGCTCCACAGCTCCAGCTTGCGGCTGAAGGGCGACTCGAGGCACCGCTGCAGGAAGTCCTGCACGCGCGGGTCCTGCTTCTTCTGGTCGAGCAGCGCCTTCGCCGCCACCTGGTTGGCGCAGTAGCACGTGTACGCGTTGAGGCACGGCAACTGCAGGCCGGGCAGGGGTTGGGCAGTTGGACAGGGACAAACGGAAAGAGACATAAGGTAGAGAAAACATGTGATTACCTCTTACCGTTGTGCACCGTGTGGGACATTGTATTGTCCAGCAAGCTGTCCTACCAGACAGTCTCGTCCCTTCACCTGATGAAGGCCGCTTGTGTTGTGGCCGAAACGTCGTGAGAATATTATTGTGTTATTTTATTTCAGCAATTTATTATTTTATTCTAATTCTACGTGACTTTACCGAAAGAACCAAAGAAGATAGTCTGTGTATGTATGATGAACTGATTTTGCACCGTACATAGCCAAACGTGCTAATCGGAGGTGTATACCAGGGGTTAATTGATAATGCACTTTTTGTCAATACTCTGCTGTAGAAGTGCCCCCCCCCCCCCCGTAAGGCCACATAGGTCGTGGGATTTATCCGACCATACTTCACAACACAAGGTAGTGCGAGTTTGACAAAGCAAGAAGCGTGCATCTGGGGAGGATGATATAGTACAGCAATGAACTTGCGCTGCAATGCCCTCTGCTGCTCACAACGTAGCCCCTCAGCAGCACCTAACTCCTGTGGCATGCATAGTGGTCGCCCACCAAAGCACTAATCAGGCTCGTTCCTATGTAACTTCCGAGATCTGATGAGATCGGCTGCATTTCGAGTGATCTGGTCACAGGCAAACTCTAACAGGTGACACCACTATTAAATGTAATGTCAGAGTACATCTGTTGTTATCAGAATTCCTCGTGAGTTGTATAGACTCATGCTGTCCTCCTAGTTGTTTAAATCCCTTATAGTATCCATAATAGAGGTGTTTTGGGTTAGATCACGTAAATATAAATGTGTCGTTAAACACGCCACCTGTTAAACTAAGCCAATTAGGTGGCTGTGTCGGGTGGTGGCGGGTTTAACGACACATTTATATTTATGTGATCTAACTATATTTATGTGATCTAACCCAAAAACCTCGATTATAGATAATATTGGTCGCGAAAGCCTACGTGTTAAAACTCCCTTATAGTAGTCAAGATCACCACACACTTGGGAAGACAAATGAACACCCATGGCTCCATTCCCCTAAACACTGCTTGATCCACCAATTCAACATAAATAAATTGCTAATGTTTAAAATGCTTAGTACAGCCCCTATTATTAATAATGGGAATTGTAATGTAGGAATACCTCACTGAGTCTAAAGGTTTGTTTTTTTCCAAATTGAATATTCAGCCGAACCCATTTTATGTAATGTTTTGCATGTGGACAGAAAACCGGAGTCGCTCGTGCATACTTGGAAATAACCCTCAATGACTGCACAAAACCGTTTCCTGTATTAACATCTCCTGGCCACCAGGCAGATCAACAAGTGCAGGAATTCCACAACTCTACGAGGAACCTGTGGAGGGACATGGTCCAGCCAAGCTGAGGACACCTCTCAGAGCAACGAGCTGGATATGGCTTCACACACAAGTGACTTTCATGGTGCTGCTGCTGCATCTTCTGCTGCTCGAGCTAAGCACTGAGGTTTGGCAACCGTGGCAAGTGGCAATGAACCAAGTCGCCGAGGCACTGAGCTTTCCACCGAATTGGCATGTGAGAGAGCTCCTCACCCACTCCACCAGGATGTGCCCCACGCGCTCCGTGGCACCGTTGGGCTTGCGTGCCTTCTGCAGCCCGGTGAGCAGGTCTGTGGGAAAGTTGAACGCAGGCAGGGACGTCAACACGAATGTTATTTAATCTTAGCCACATTATTAAATAACAATCGTGTTTTTCAGCCAATGCACCATCTGAAGAAAAGGCTTTGTTTAAGCAGGTAAATGGTATGTTACTGGTAGGAAACGTAGTGGACTGGAAGCCCAACCGGGATTAATTCACAGGAGGCAGGGGATTAATTGTGTATGTCTGTGGATGTCTGTCCACGTGTATCCAGACACCCGGATATATAACAAATGCGCTCCTAGTGGGCATTACTGGTAGTAAAAAATTCCTACCAGCCCCCTCCGCAGGAATGCGTTAAAGCAGTTAAATGGTTGAACCGTTTTTTTTTTACTTTTCTACGTCTCATTAGCAGGGTGGGACTTGTTAAATAGTTGATTCAAAAATGTCTCTACAAACACCTTGGGACCATGCAGCAACCGAACACTGTGCTGTTTGGCAGATTTGGGATACTAACTAACAAGGGTCTATTTCACTGCCAAAAACAAAGAACAATTAGTGTATTACCCGCAATGTTGTCAACACCGAGCAAGATTCAGAACTTAATGTTCAGATATTGAAACGCGAGTCTCTTAAGCATCCTTTGGAGCAATGTATTCTCTTAAGGCTTCATGATTGCTGGTACTGTTACAGGGCAGGTTGAGCTATGAGTGTGTATGGTATAAAACCTGTGAGTGTGAAACCCTAGGATCTGCAAATGCCTGAGGATGCTAGATCAAAATATAATTAAATCTGCCGGTCGGTTAATAGCCTCTTAGGCTGGGAATCTACTCGAACCGATGTTATATGTTAACCGATGTTATATACGCTCTGATGTCAACTTACATCAAAACATTTTCACCTTCAATACATTTCCGCTTTCATAATTAAAGAACACCTGGCAGATTTTTAAGGCAACTTAAGTCACGACGTTGTAGGACTCGGCAGCATGTCGTACACTACATTATATACGTTGAAATTATTTTGCGCAGTACGTAGCCAACCATACTAATCTACATCAGCATGCCCCGGTGACACGCGCGAGTACGCCGTCGGCTCCCACCTTCGTGCAGTGGGATTAGAGAGTCGAGAGCCCCGAATATCTGCGCGAGTTCCACCGCCGTCATAATGGACAGCTTGAGCATGGGGTCTCTGTAGGCCTGTTCAACCACAATGCAGCCAAGCATGATCATTCACGCAAGGGGCGCACACGATGATAACCAGCCCCAATGCACTTTCATCGATGACGACGCAATTCATACATTGTGCTGAGAAAGCGATGTGTTTGGCTGCATGCACGGGCTGTTAATTTAGGTGAAGTGGTGGTGTGCAGGTGGATAGGTACAGGCATGGACAACTTGCTCATATATAATTCCCATTGTGAGAAATGTTTGCATACAATATGGAATTGACTGGGTTAATTTTAGGGCAATATACATTTGCATATTTCCTAATAATCCTATTTGCTCTGGTTTGTGTCTCCAAAGTTTGGGAAACTCTTTCATTAAATTGGCCAGTTTTCAATCGGTTCATATCATCTTTCATGAGAGTTCAGATGGACAGATAGGTTAATGAATAACTGCTTTCAACCTGAAACGAAAATTGTCAGAAAAAAACAGTCGATTGTAACGTCAGAAGACTTGTGTCAGCCAATGCTACTTATACCACAGTGAGTTGAATCAATCGGCAGAAAAGACAGATTGCAGAATGTATACATTATTACCAAAACACTGTGGTTGTGTGTTAAATATTATTCATGGAGTCGAATTAATTTTTTATGAACCACTTGTATAAGAATGTAATATGTACAATGTATGCACATTATATGCACATGTTATATTTGGCTATAGGAATGAATGAGATAGAATAAAGATATTACATGAGAGACAATCCAAAATGGGACGAAAAAATACGAATTGTGACTCCAATTTGTGACAATTCGTCCAATTGTCAGAGGTAATTAAGGAGGTTATATGTTATATGCGATGAAGATAGTATAAGTGGAATGTGATAGTGATGTCTGCCTTGTGCATTTTCATATAACACAGATTATTTTTCCTTTGTGCTAACCGTAAATTACCAAAATGGAAATCAAATAACCACATCACGTATTGTAATTTCACCCGTAGGCTAAGTGCTCTAAATTGATCATTTGTCGGTCCCTCTTATTAATTAAACCAAAGCAGTCCAATGCTGAAAGAATTAATCCGTTTTGACAAGGTTAATTAAAAACTATGGAGATTTTCAAACAATAAGTACATCATTGGCCGATAAGCACTCCTTTTATGAGCACAACATCCGAATCGATGCTACACTAATGGCCAATTCATTGACGATTTCTGCAAGGTTGCCGAGCGCGAACGAGCAGTGCCTGACAAAGGCCCGTGACGATATAAGTGAGCCACCGGCACTGCTGCACAGCACGAGTATGTGTGTGTAAAAGCAGGATGACCGCACAATGCGGTGGCACTCACCTTCTTTGCCAGCTTGAGATCTTCAATCAAATCCTGCTCCCCTTGGGCCAGCTCAAAAATGGCCTAGAAAAACCAAAAAGGAGGATTTGGGTCCGCGCACACAACGCTTCCACACCATACATTTGTTGGTTTGAGCATGAACTCACACAGCAGCAAGAGCTTCAAATGAAATAAATAAAACGGTCTGTGGTCAGAGCGTAGCTTCGAGGCAAAGAGGTAGGCAGCCGCCTGCTCTTTGTACAGCTCTCGTCAACTCTTTTCTATTACAGCCACCTTTCACAGTATCTTCCCAATCCATGTATTATCAAGTGGCACAGATTGGCTACGTACGATGCAAAAGTTCAACATACATGCATACATCATGAAAACTATTCAAAAGCGTTCCATCATGTAAATAATTATCTCAAACCAAACACATCAAGGCACAGCAGGCCAAGTGGAGATTACAAATGTTCTGTCTCATCTCCTGTATTCCTCCGTATGAGCGAGGCAAGCAAACCCATATAGAGGTCAAACGCGAACGGAAAGCGGCTGTCATCACGGATGTGGAATAATCCGCGGTACGACGTGTTTACTCGCAGGCCTGTTAAGGGCGCGCGGTGCATGCACGATCGGAGCATAATAAGGAAAAACACAATGGGCAAAGAGGGCGCTCAAATGACAGAACGATGAGAACGTATTGGCCTTCATGGCTGTGGAAACAAACAATTTAGTCGTGCAGCCATGTACTATGGCTTAGAGTAATGAGCTGGCACTGATGACATCCTGGGTTTGAATTCTGAGCGCTGCCCATATTGGGATCATGTCATCTAATGACGTGATTTCTGAGAGTACAATCGTAATAGAATTGGGAAATAGACAAAAATGTGATTGTCGAGCAGAATCTTAATTCTCCAAGAACTGAAGTGAAATACAGCATTTAAGTCAGTGTTTTTGACAAAGCTTATATGCCTTAACGCGCAATTAAAGTTAATGACATTTTGTTCGTACATGTGACAAATGGAAGCATATAAAATACGCTATCTCTTGGTGATGCATCGTGTAACTAAATTAATTACAGATGTAAATCCGACACTAATAGTGTAATCAATGCAATAGCAATTAATTAAAGTGAAAAACCCAAGACAATTTGTTTTGAGGAGACTAAATTTTGTCCGCAGCGCACTGAGAAAAACGTTTCCATTTTCACAGAAAAATAACTAAATGTAATTTTAATGCTGTAATTGCTTGCGTGGCCTTCCAGAGGCCAGGTTTTAATTAAGCGCAACAGAAGCAGCGACCTTCCCGCTGTGCAGCTGCCCGCTCACAATAAGCGTTTGCTAGTTGGCTTTTGCGTGTCGGGGTGCATGCACACGTACTGACGTTTTCATCTTTACGTGTATGTGTCACAAAAGAAGTTTTTTTTGAGTGGGCCACCCCTATATTAACTCCGCCTTAAACATGCACTCAGCAATGATAACTGTGCGGGCCACTAATGGGTCTTGATAACATTATTAGAGCAGAAAATGAAAATCTTATTAGAGAGCGCATGAGAGAGCGCCGTATCAGTGCGGGAGCACGCCGTCCACATTTACGACTTGCTCCTTCTCACGCATCTGGCCCACGAGTGTGGGAATGAGTGCGTGCTCACGCTCCCCGTGCGTGCACAGGCTTGAGTGTGGGCGCGCCCCGCAATCTCCCTGCCGGAGTGTTTGCCGAGCAAGCCGGCCTCGCAGTCACGCACACGACCGTGTTTGCACTGTGCTTGCCCTGCCCGCCTGCTCACGTGGTCGCCGACCCAAGGCGGCAAGTGCAAGCAAATGCGCTCCTCCGTTGCATGTGCCCTTGAAAGTAAACAATAAAATGTTTCTGGCACATCTGCACCACCTCGTCGCAACAATCTTTCGGCCTTGTTTATTCTGTCTTGTTTTTTCACTGTAACCTAGAGGAGAAATGTGCCCGAATCGAAAAATCGACTCTCACGCACGCGATTCAATGCGTGCACCATGAGCACGAGTATGGATTCTATAAAACGAAATGTCGTATGTTTAACTTCTTTCGCACCGTACGTAGCCAACCGTGATAATCGGAGGCGCGGGGGAAGGACAACACACACATATTTGCACTACAATCTACCAACACATACCCCGAGGGCTTGCAGACGAAATAAAAACAGGTCACAGTGAATGAAGGTGCAGCCCAACAATGGCTCACGCCACTGCTGGCAGAAAGCACCTCCACCACTCCAGGGAGCGTCAGAGAGCCCCTCTGGAGGGCCTGGCACGTCCACACTGGCCAGACGCTTTGGAAGACGTGGGAGTACCCACGCATCACCCCATCCCCCACACGCCGACCTTGCCAACTGACTGTGGTGCCTCCTTAGCAGCAGCACCTGAGCTGATTTGCACATGCAACAGGCAATGCACCTGGCACAGCCTGCAGCGTCCAAATCACGAGGGAGGTCTTGCTCAAGTCGGGAGCTGCATGGCACGGTTCTGCCAAATGGACTGATAAGGCTCGTTGTAATCACCAGCGAAACGTCGTACTCAAATTGTAAATGTTGTGGGTTGCTCTCGAACACACCAGTGTGCTGAAGTAGTAACCAATTGGCACGTTTTGTTTACGCTACAAACCTTACTAATTGGTTGTGTCGGGTGGTGGCGGGTTAAAGACACATTTATATTTCTGCGATCTAACCCAAAATAAACCTTGATTATGCACAATAAGAAAAGTTTTCAGAAGTCATGGTGCATTGTGGTTTTCCAGTCAGCTATTAATGAAGACACCTGGGGGGAATTGAGAGCAGAAGAATGCTCTCAATATTTCTTGTGAAGCTGGAAGGCTATGCTTAAGAGTGTGATCATAAATGCCATGATTGAAAACGAATAGTAAGTCAACGTGAAATCTTAGCTCCCAAGTAAGAGCTGTTGGCTCAGGGAAACGTCATAACTCCCAAGACACCAGCCAATCGCTTGCCAGGAGGACATAAACAAGCACCCATCCAACTAGGCCGTCATGATGTCATCACTCCATGTGTTGTGGCTGAGGAAAGTATGTCGTTATTAATATCAATGATAACACTGTTATTGCTTATACTAGCGATGTTAGAAATATTGAGAGCAACGGAATTTATTTATTATTAATTTGTTTTATCATTACGTTATGCTGCTAATTATTCTCAGTTACAATAGACCTACACGAGTGGTCATTGACCACTCTTTAGATTTCTTGCAAATGTATGCAAAGGCCCATGTCGTAACTCTCGTATGCTTAAGAGTTACGAGAAATCTTATCGCAAACAGAAATTACAATGCGCGAGCAAGGTTTGTGCGATACGCTTTGGCCGGCTCTGCAGCGGCGCATGACCACACACCCTTCTCAACCCAACTGCTCGTGTGCCTAATCCGGCACGAAGGCCGGAGACGACGGGAGGCTTGCGGGTCAGTTTCAAAGCAGATCTGAGGGGCCTGCCATGCGTAGTAAAGCTAACAACAACAAAAACCACACACACACACAACGATGAGAGCTACATTTCGTCAAATGCAAAATAACAATGGAGAATGATCTGTGATTTATTCAGCAAAATCAAGTTGGGAAAAAAAATAGGTTGAACCTGATGAGCAGTTTTCATGAAACGAAGAACAAAGGGGAGAGACTACAAAAACTGTGATTTTAAGAGGTCAAAGGATGTGGGTGACAAATTTCAAAGACTATAGCCATATAATGGGACCATATTTGGGACAATGTTTGTGTTAAGCATTCAGACGTCAGAGATATCACCTGAACAATGTTATATTACACCGTTGTCCGCAAAATTGTATGCATCCATCGCGATCACACACATGCTACATCACGGCGGTTTTTTTAATCACTTCCGTGCGCTATCGTTATTATTTTTGGGATAAATTTGGCTTGCTTATTGCAGGTGCACTTCGTGGCAGATGCTGGGAAAAGATGAAAAATATGTAAATGTGCTTCACTCAGTTGAGTGTTGTGCATTAAAATAAAAAGCAAGGCTTAAAAAAAGGGACTGGAATATTTAAAAAAATCTAAAAGCCCCCCCCCCTTTCCAAATGCTCACCCCCCTCCTCTGTCCGTTCCCCTCCAGTAAAACAGCAGAACTTGCCTCCCTGCATTCCTTGACCTCTGTACACCTAAAAGCGTGTCCCGGGCAACCAGTGGCAACAGAGCTCGGTGATGGTTGTGGATGAAGTTGCTCACCGCTCATGGCTTTGATTCTCATTTATCTATTCATTCATTTGGCCAGCTGCCTCTTTTATTCATGTGCCAACCCCCCCCCCCCCACCACGTAATTTCCCCCCGTAGTACATTAAAGAAAGGGAAGACAATACAAAAAGCAAAAATAACAAGTAAACAGCACTCTGCATTGCAGAGTGGGGCAAACGAAAAACTCCAGTACTCGCCGCAATTATTTTTTTCATTTGTACCATCATGGCATCATCGTATAATGTAGACATTAATAGAGGACGTTGGGTAGACAAGTAAAAAGCAGACTGAAACAAAAATATCAGGACTGGAATTTGGGAATTGCTAATTTAAAGCTAGTCCAAATTTCCCTGGATCCCTGAATGATGTTGTTCAGTGTAAATGTCGGTTTGAATCTTATTAATATTTATACCATTGCGCAATACGGAGATAAAAAAAACAGATAATTAATGTAATCATAGTGTCACGACTAAATGCTGTTGTTTAATTGACGGATGCATAAACAAGCCTGCAAGCTGCCCGACAAGTCCTATACAGTGGGTTTAGTTAACAACAGTGGGATCACTGTAAAGTGCTTATGCATAGCCCTCATTGTTAAGTGGAAGCAACTCTGCTATTTTGTTGGAGCCATTATGCGGATAAGCGACAGCCCAAGTAAACCACTCCATATGCAATTTTACCTCTGGTAAATAACAAGCTACGTGTTTACGTGCCAACTTTCGTTATAGAAAAACAAAAACACTCGTAAAAAAACTCAGCTATTGGGTTATAGTTCTTCAGAAATGCAATGATCGTCATGCGGCCGAAAGATAATTCTCCGCTTTCAGACACCAAATGAACTGAATGAATCCAATCGGATGCCTCCCACGCATATGGGGGCCTCTGCCTCAGTGCAGTCACCAAAAAATATTTTTCACCTGCAATGCCGCAGATATGTGTAGACTAACACGGTGAGGGATAATGTACGTTGTGCTGCACGGCGGCTCTGCTGTGACACAAATGCACCATCTGTTTGGCTGCAAAGGTACGCACATTTTACCTATCACTCCGCGAGGATGATGCACTTTCCGACATGCCGTGCTAAAAATGTTCATTAGGTGCCAGTAACACTGATGCATTTTTAGTCCTCAGAACTAGCAATACACCAAATGAATTACATGTAAACATGTAATTTTAAGATGGCTTCTTTGTAGAGTTATTGGTGACCCCGATGAGCCCATCAACTCAATACGCTTGAGAATTCGGTTTAACTATAGTTAGAATTCGGTTTAACTACAGTGACGATCTCTGCAGTGCGCGCTCCGTGCTCAGACACATCAGCTGCCTCAGCCACTTTATGTGTATGCCTTCTCAGCGAACTACATAAGTCAATCGTGCAATTCATTTGTTCCAATAACAAGTGATGCAGTGTCACACCGTGGCCATCCCGTGCAAACTGCCGCACGTTATTTCACAGATATCCCTCGCGTCCACCCCCGCCGTGACATCGGACGTGCCCAAGCAGTGAGCGCACGCATGAATTCTCACCTCCTGCCGCTTGATCTCGCTGCGCGAGAATGCCTCGTGCGCGCCAGCATCGTACGTCTCGCTCCACAGGCGGCTGTTGCGCCGCTTCGGCGGTGTGGGGGCCACGTGCTTGCTGTACGGCCGTACTGAGCAAGTAGGCGCCTGGTTCTCGCTACGGAAGCTGATGGACCGCTGCTCGCACACACACACGCACACACGGATATTCCGTTGAGCACTGTGGACTTTAGAGACAAGGGAAGTGAGTAAGCAAAAACAGCAGAACCCTTGTTAACGACCACCGCTGTTAACGACGGGCCTCTACAGAGCCCAATGTGTTCGCTTACTAACCATTCCCCTATTAACGGGCTGCTGCAGGTTAATTAATGCATTGATTAACCATGTTTCTTTTAATATTGTGTGTTTATAATGTTGTTAGTATCTTTATGTATTAATATCCATTGCTTAAATATTATAACTGCGTTTTTTGGGTGAAAAACGATAGCTTTCGATGCTATCGGAACAATGTAAGCTTTGAACGTGTATTTCCGATACTCGCTTAACAACCAAATCACTTAACAACCGGTTTCGTGGAACCAATTACCGTCGTTAAGAGGGGTTTCTATTATAATAAATGTTCGTGAGCACATCCTAAGGCTGACATAGCACAAGATGGGGGTGTTGTGGGCCCCAACCGCTGCTGCTTTTACACACTGCAGCAGGTTCTTATTTATGGCTAAGTTAAACTAAAAGAACCCCAGGCCAAGTTCAGATATCACATGTCATTTGCTATACATGGTCGAAAAGCAAATGCAGTCGGATAATGCATCATGAAAATGACAGCACCAGCGCTCCACGCACACAAACACACATCTATAGACACATCCACCTTTTGTAATGCCTAATATGAAACTTCTATATCAAGCTGTGGACTACATAGATTGGCATTATGAAATAGGCATACTTAAACAAACAAAAAGTGGCTGAATTTGCAATGTATGTTGGAAGCCCAGCGATACTTGAATTAAGGACAAACTGGGTTCAGAGCCTAGAGGGTATTTTGAGCTCCTCACTCATGCCTGAGAGTCTCAACCATTCAGTCCCCAAATCCCCTTGGGGCTTTTTTATGCAGCTGACTGCTTTGGCTGTCATTGACTCGGGCCCTCATGAGACTCATGAGGGTCTTGTTCCATTCATGAGCTCATCAGTGTGGGCAGCCTTGAGGTTTTGGCTGGCACAGGCCTCTGTGGCATTGTGCGTCCTACCTACAAAAGGGGTACCCCCCCCTGGCCACAGGCCACGCACACCGCCGGTGCGGAGGACACGTGCACAGTGGGGAGGGGGAAAAAATAAACGTGCGCGGGGCTCGGCGAGTGACGCCGTCTGCACCACGGTCATCAGCGGGACGCCACTGCTGGAGTCACAGCGCGCTCGGCTCGGAGTGCCGCACTCGCTGCCACGGCCGTGGCTGACGCTGCACACGCATTATCTGACATTTCCCCCCACTTAATTACGACAAATAAAGAAAGCAACGAAATAGGACACGGGCAACCTTTGTGCGAGCGGGTCCCCTCCTCACTGTGAGCCCCTGTGTGTGATTCACGGCGATGTACACACAAGCTCTCTCGCGGCGAGCTGCTCAGCAACGAAACCTCTGTGCCGATGGCTAAGGTCACTCGTCGCCAATACGGCACGATCGGCCAACGTTTGCAAGTTTGCCATTGGTCATCGAGAGTCGGGCATTTTCATCATACAGCAGACACATGTCCACAAAATACAGTAAATAAAAAGTAATAATATCCACCACCACTGTTTGTTATTTGGTTTCAGAATAGAGGAAGAGTTACTGTAATGAGGCAGTCCAACCAACAACAATAAGGACAAGAGTTGAACAGCAAATGGATCACACGACAGAAAACATTTGTCCAAAGGGAAAAAAAATCCTCCGGAAAAATCAATCCGCTCGCTATTTCCACAAAAGTGATCCGACAAACATTTTTTTTTTAACTCTGCAAGAGAAACTTACGGCGGCAGAGAAGGAGGGAGGAGGAGGCTTACCGAAGCCATGGCTGCTGAAGACGACTATCATGGTGTTCACCTCCGCACAACACACAGCAACAAGGCACTGTCCTGTCCTCTCATCTAAGCGAGACCAGGTTCTACCTCGTCCATACAAGTGACATAACTTAATGTGACAGCACAGACAGTCCCCCGCAGGGGCTGTGCTGCAGTGGGGAGGGAATAGATGAGATGGCCCAGTTCACCCCCCCCCACCCCCTAAGTGTGCCCAGCTTATGGTAGCACCCTCAGCAACTTCAGCACCTCCCCATTTCTCACAAACAGCGAAGCAAGCGGGTTCTCTCTCTCTCTCTCTCTGCAGTCACTCCTTAATGGCTCCTATCAGTTACATGAGCAATTTTTTTCCCCCCCTTTGGCTTTTCATTTCCCCCCCACCCCATCACAACTTCTTTGTCCGGGAACAAGAAACGCTGTCAAAATGTGGGAGTGCCATACATGGTGAAATACCGGACCAGGATCCATACATTTGCTTTGTGTAAAAGCAGTAGTAGCCACCGCACCAGGCAGTGACACGTGCGTTTAGAGTATTTGGCTGCTTTAAATTCCCACGTGATAAGCCACTTCGCCGAGCTATTTGTGGCCAGGTCGCTTCTGAAAAAGAGCTAAATAGCTCAGTGGGCCTTACCTGGTAAAATAAAAAGCTTAGTTTCGTTTTAGTCACTATCACCTCATCAGGCATGTAAAACTTTCATCCTTTAAATTTTCTATGACTATATATATTTTTTAAAGCAATAGGATTACATACGATTAATTTGGGCACTCATTGAAAGAAATAATGAGCACAAGGCTGCCTGGACTGTGTAGCAGTGGTTTTGGAAGCAGTTTATATTCAGTAGACATGCACTGTTGGCCCCATTAAAGACTGTGTGGTGCGGTTGACGAAGTAACCCACACCTGTAGCTTTGTTCTTGAACAGCACGTGGCCTCCCTGCCAAAAGCAAATTGTCAGGTCTGACTCAACCACACTCAGCTCGCACAAATGCCCGCACTAATGACGCAGAATATTCAGTGTAATGGACAATATAATTTGTTTGACAAAGCCCAAAATGCCCTGTCTACACAGGGCACATGTACTAGCCATGTGACAAAGGAGCAATTTGTTGACAGAATAACATGCACACAGCACTTCGTTGTGCCTTGGGCTTCTACATGTACATTGAATTTCTTTCGCACGGTACGTAGCCAACCGTGGTCGTGAAGGTCTTAATATCCAATTTACAGTTGCCCTTTCGTGAGAACTAATGGGTTTGGAACACTTCCCCAGTCATTCAAGCGGTGGGTTTTGCAGTAGTGTGATACCTTTATTAAGATAGGATCAGTTAGAATATTCTCTATAAATGCTACTCTATCAGCAGTCACCACACATACCAGACTGCTTCTATAGTCTTGCTTTAGGTTATATTTACTTAAAAATAAAAATCACCCCCCCCCCAAAATAAATATATGAGAGTAGTGTTTGCTAAGGGTTTACAGGATTTCTTAAAATCTTCAAAACTTGTAAACAGTGTTCCTGTTCCATCATGTGGAAAGGTTAAAAAAAAATGAACCAGAAAAGGTTTGATCAGTTACAAGTTCCAACTGAATAAAAAATAAAATTCTCACGACGTTTCGGCCACAACACAAGTAGCCTTCTTCAGGTGAAGGAACAGAACTGTCGGGACGACAGCGCTTCATTGAAGCGCTGTCGTCCCGACAGTTCTGTTCCTTCACCTGAAGAAGGCTACTTGTGTTGTGGCCGAAACGTAGTGAGAATTTTATTGGCTTATTTTGTTTTATTGTTTTATTCTCATTCTACGTGACTTTACCGAAAGAACCAAGATGAATCCTTGCAGTCACGAAAGCTTTAAATCGAAATTTAAGTTCCAACTGGTTTTGTCAACACATTTCAGATACTTAAAACGGTCGCTGCAATACAATAAACTGTACAGAGGTAACAATACTCTCCTCAATGATTCATTGTAATATGAAAATTCTATCCTCGAATTGATGTTTTTATCCCCTGGTGAATGTAGATTGTATAGTGGGCATGCATCTACAGTATATGGACAAGTCGGCCACATTAACTTTTTGCTGCCTGTTGCTCTTATTAATTCCACGCTTTAATTTCCTTACATCAAAATGGAAGATCATTGTTGAAGTGCTCCTCTATATGCTGATTTGAGTATTTTTTCCCCGTTCCCCTCCTCTTTAGGCCATGCCCCCTCTTCTTAACGCCCCACCACCTTCCTGTTTAGGCCATGCCCCCTTCTCTCTAGGCCCCACACTTTCCTGTTTAGGCCATGCCCCCTCCTCTTTAGGCCATGCCCCATCCTCTTCAGGCTCCACCCCTTCCTTTGTAGTCCCACACCATCCCACTCGGACCCTGCACCCTTTTTTATCTTAAAGCCCTGCCCCTTTTCTTTTGAGACCCCACCCCTCCTATTTGGCCTCTGCCCTTTCCTCCAGACATAGGCTTGCACTTGTGATTTAAAAAAAAGGGCAGTGTCTCTTTTGTTTTGTTCCTTTTTTTCCGTGACACTTGACAACTGTGGACTAAAGCAACTTGATTTGACTGAGACGGCACGAGTGGGTGGTGGTGGGAGAGGGGGGGGCATAGGAGGCAGCGGTGGGGGGGGCTCCACAACAAAAATCCCTCTCGGGGGCAAAACAATAAGAGTGTGTGAATCAGCCAATTACTCATTACTTGTATGACTTCATAAACATATAGTGATTGTAATAATACATGTTTATTAAGAAATCCGTAAATCTACAAACATTTGTAAATAATGGCGACATGAGCCCAGCGGTACCGCGTTTGCCGCTTGTTGCAGAGGTTTGCGGCTCGAGTCCACCAAGGCGCCCTGGTAAATATTGCAAGTATATTTACCACAAATTGTGCGCCCGTGTCATGTGCTGGTGTCATGGTCCAAATTTGAAAAATAAATGTGGGTAAAGCCACGTAAGCACCATCGCCCCGACTAGGAAACTACCACCGACAAGTCTTGTGTGAAACGCAGCACCTTCGTGATAGCCTTGCACTAAAATAATGGCGTAAAACACTTAATCACCATGGGGAAGCCTGTCAAAAAAAACGTTGTGTGATACACTCTCTGCCTTGCTTCCAACAGGTTTCTGGG